GTACAATGAGCAGTTCGGGGACATGTTTAAAACAAAAATCCTTTTCCTTTTCATACAAATCACTGAACAAATTTAAGTTACATTTATTTCAAGGGAAGTCAGACTAAGATTTTAGTATGTATTGTATGAATGTGATATAATTCTAATGTCGATTAACTTTCATTTAATTGACTGAACGATTGATATGTCTTTAAAGGTATTCTAAGACTATCAAAAGCACCAATCTTCTTTTCCATATTCTTCTTCTCATTCTTCTTCTTCTCCTCGTTTTCCTTCTCTTTCTGCTTCATTTTCTTTTTCTCTTTCTTTTTTTTCCTTTCATTTTTCTTCTCCTCCTACCCATTCCTCCTCCTCTTCTTCTTCGTCTTCCTCTCCCTCTTCCTCTTCCTCTTCCTCTCCCTCCTCCTCTTCCTCTTCCCCTTCCTCTTCCCCTTCCTCTTCCTCTCCCTCTTCCTCTTCATCTCATTCCTCTTCCTTCCCTTTTACTTCCTTATCCAGTTCACCTCGCATCCCTCTGTCTTTCTTTCAGTTAGCGACCCGTCTGCACACAGAACAGGCCAGCGCATTCCTCCATACCGCCCTCCCACGTCCACAGAGCCGTAGGATTATTTGCATATAACATCTCAAAAGCAACATCTCAGGAATCATCTTTACCAATCATTATAAAGTTAAAATCCCATTCGCTTTATCTATGTCGGTTTCATTAACATTAAATACCCTGATTTGAAGTTACAAGATGATATATTCTATCCACATCAAAAGTCCCGTATATATTTTTTTTGTACTACTTGTAACATTTAAGTGCATGATATAGAAAACCGTAATATTCACACCAGGCAACTATGCATTGGCCAAATCCGCATTAATTAAAACTGATAGCCATAATCTGCAATACTGAAACCCAAAGGACCAAATTTCAGATAATCAAACCCGTAACAATGGAATCCGCAATACGCTAATCTATAGCAACAAAAATTCATAAAAAAGCAAAACATATGATGGCCGA